TTGAGATGATAGTTAGAATTAAGGTAATAATCTTACAATTTTTTCCTTCTAAGTTATGTACAGTGAAACATAGAATAAAAGCAAAGACCTTTTATGTAGATATTCATGTTGGAAAACAGAAGAACCTAGGAGCCAATAGTCCCACTCAGAACCAGCACAGCACAGAAAATAGATGAAAAAAAGCAATATAGGGACTATATTCGCTCTATATTACCGATAGACATATATCTACAAGTATTTAAATACCTACATATGTATGTAAATACTATAGATTACTGGTTTGACTCTTTGCAAGACTAAACATAAATTTGAGAGTATTTTACAGGATAGGGTTAAGTTCAAAGTGGTTTTGTGTCAATAAAAGTATCTTTCATTTCTTTTCATCCCCTTCCTGACAACTTAGTCAAGACAATTTTTTTCCTTGAGGATTATCTTTCACTTGGGAAAAATTGCTATTTTGCTTGATATTAGCTAACTCATGGTAAGTGGCAGACAAACTACAGAAGGCTAAATTCACACAATCTGTCACTTCCACCATAATCTGTTTCATAAGCCAAAATAAGGAACATAAAGCATATGAAATGCTAAGCACATTAAAACATGTAAAGTCCTAAGTACTTATGTGACTTCCGTGATATCATTAGGAATGCTAGAGACTAGACCTAACACATTGTTGACTTGAGATACGGCCACTCTCTGATGCTTTTTCAGAAAGGCAGAGAAACTAATTAAGAAACACTTTTCACTTAGATGCATAGAAACAGACACATTCTGTTTCTGTAAAAAATAGTGTGTACCGTTTTGCTGGCTACTGGAAAACAATAAGCAGAGAAGCATGTTTTTTAAACTACGTAAAAGACAACTAATGGAACAAAGTGCTCTGGTTAATTCTTTATTTTCAACATCAAATACATTGACAAAAATCTTGCACCAATCAGGTAGCCTACTGGATTTTTCATTGAGGCTTTTTTTAGAACATTTTTAGGTGCAAAACAAAGAGAAAAAACCTCACCAAAACAAAGACAACAATAATTTTATATGCATCAGTGAAAGAACAGAATACTTCACCAAATACATTATGGCAGCTGAGCCTATACCAAAGAAAAGACTTTCCATTGACAGACTACATAGTGCACACAAAAGCATTAGTTTTATAGTATATACAATAAGGTGATACATAAAGTGGCTTGTTAATGCGAGTCTCGTGACCAGCAGTCTATCCCTTCATTTTCCAGTGGGCACTTTCTGAAGAAACAGACTTCGAATTATAGGCACACAGGAGTACAGAGCATACTAATTTGCAAGATGGCAGCATATACATTTTTTTAATTTTTTTTGTTTCTTTAGGCACATTTGAATACAAAAGATTTATTTTTTTTAGATTTCTGTTTTTTTAACACAGTGCAAAACCGAATACCCTTATGGGCAACAATCACTTTGAAAACAACTTTCAGGATATAAGGCTATCTACATTTGAAAGCTGAAAGGCAATCACGAGTAGAAAGGGTAGGACATTAATATTAGGGAAATATTAATTTAAAATTCTCCGATCAATTTGGGATTATGCTATAGTTGCAGGTGACAGCAAAGACCAGTTTATATTAGGATACCGTTGTTAACATGACCCTTCTTTTACATGTGTTGAATTTCTATCTGTAAAGCTATATTACGATTGTAGATAGCATTGAAAATAGCCATCTCTTTATTCAAAGTTAGAAATGCACTTCACGTAAGTTCAGCTGACAATACTTTATATACAAAATCCCACCAGCTTTAGGCTGGGCTGCATTCTAATTTTAAAGCAGGATATTATATACACAAGAGAGGCTTACTGTGTTCCTGCCAAAGCCTGTGATAAGACTAAGGCCCTAGTGAGGCAGATTTTTTTGCTGGTAGTTCGTTTCATTTTAAACATTTGGCACAACTCTTAAGGAATCAGTCAGCATCGATTAGAATGGATGGAGGCTCCAATACAAACCCTGGCTTGGATGAAGGGGGTGGTTTGGGTTTTCTTTCTTTTTCCTTTTTTTCAATTTAAAGTCCAGTCACCTGATGACAGTCCTTGCAATATCCTTGGGAGCTCAGTTCAGAATCTTTCTTCAATTATATTTTTAAAATTATTAAACCTCTCAGTGTACAGAATGAGAAAAATCATCAACAGATGTCACTGAAGCATAACAGTAAATTTACCACACACACACACACCAAGAAACTCTCATTAAATTATTTTACCCCAGCACAAATCCTACTGCCCCAACTGGGAATTTTACCTGAGACAAATTCTGCAACATCGAGACATGGCTCGAACCACTACAAACCAGAGTAGCTTTCACATATTGTTGGAAACTCAGACATCACTAAGTGCTACACATCACCCTATGCCCTCTCCTGCCTCCCAAGCTTTTTGTAATAATTCAGTAACAACCATATTCTCAAGCAAAGCAAGTTTCTGTTTGACTTGTGCTGGTATTACATTGCCTACGTTTCTAGGGGTTTTTTTGGTTTTTTGATTACTTTTTTTAAAAAAAAAAATCCACATATAAACATTATAAAATAATTCTTTCATTAGCTGTCCAGAGACATCACTATGAATGGTTTGGTAAAAGCATAATTAGCTGCCTTGAACAGTTTTCTTTCAAATTTTTTTTTTTTTTTACATGCTATATATTTTTATTTAATATCCAGCACCAGGTATTCAGGTAGTACTGGTTTGTCAGCTGCAAATATAAAGTATATATGTATATATATACACACACACATAAAATAGCATCCTGTGAAATAACAGTTACCAAACGTGAGGCACAACTGTTTGCATACACGAGAGAATAGTTCAGAATTACATATGAAAAAGTTGCCATTTTTGTATCATAGACTTTGTTTATTCAATTGAATAGCTACATTCAGCTGTCTGATATGTGGACAATCATCTTTCTAGATAACTAGGGGAAGGTTACTATATTCTTTAAGGTGCTTCTTCAATTAAAATCTCCTGAACAAGTTACTGACACAGATCCTGAAACTGCCCCAAGGTAAATGAATGTGTTACTGGGAATCAGTGTTTTTCTTTCTTGGGCGCCTTTCACTGTTGTCACCACAAACATGGGAGGATTGGCTGAATCTAAATTACTTCCTTGCAAGGACTGAGCCTAGGAAAGCATTCATAATCAAGATTGTGAGCTGACTAATTATTCTTTATGTTCCAAGACACTTTATGACACCAGTCTGCCTGCCGCATACCACTTCAAATCACACTCATCCAGCTTCACCAGGAAAACCTCTAGAGTGTAGTGGTACTTGCCCTATGTAAGTACCATCAGAATCTGACCCTTCGTGTTGAATTGCTCTCCATGAACTACTCTTTTTTCCTCTAGGTCAAATTTACACCTGAATCGATGTAATGAACAGTAATGAACTGTTTTGGGACGTAAGAAGGGAAGCATTCATTTCAACCAATTTGCTTTGCAGCTTATGAGCTTGATCCGTGTGTTCTGTCATAGAGAACACAAGTTGCACGTACAGTAGTTAAAGAGCAACTCTAATGCACACTGGGCTACAAGTGAATGAATGATGGTGTAAGCACATAAGTGTAACTACAGGGATACCTGTGCTCCTTTCAGATCTTAGCCTGCTCTCATTTCAGGGCATTCGTGATTTTTCTAAAACACATTCGAAAACCAGCTACTAAACAAAACAAAATGTGCATTTTCTTTCAAGGCATTTAGGAGCCCTCCAAAAGCCCTTAGGTAGCAAATTTGCACACGCACACACATGCACACACACACTCTTACTGAATACACAAAAAGACAAATCCTTCAGTACATTCAGAAACACATGACACTATAATATGTATCAATAAAAGGCCCATTAACTTACAGTGACTGCTTCACATGTTTAGGCTTGCACAGTTTTTGAGGAATCTTCTCAAACATAGGTAACATCTAGCTTTAGACATTTAAACTGCGCGTATCCTCACATATGTACATGAAACTGTTATAGACATCATTATGTACATTTACTAAAGAAGCAAATACTTGACTTGGAGCACAAACTTGTCCTATGCCTTGCTGCCTTCACACTTGCTGTGTAACTCAATCTCACTGCACACAGACTCTGCTTGTGTAACAGGGAGTGTAATTAGACATAGGCACTCCTGTACGGCATTAGTTGCACTATTTCCTATATTTCGTAACTACAGGATATTCCAATCAACATAACCTAACATAAAGGTTTCAACTATAGCGGTAAAAGAAGCATCCCTGAACCCCTCTCTAGCACGGTGGCCAGCTGCTGTGCAGCAGTCTACACCCGTGCTAGGAAATGTCCTTACTGGCAGGGTGGTCGCTTCCAACCAGCTATTGGAATAGTCCCTGGTCTGTGCTAACTCCCAAACTGCACCTGTAAACCCAAAGTGCAGATAGCACAGGCAAAGTATCATTAGACTAATAAAATATCCCTGTCATATGTAATAATCGCATTCCAGTAGCCAGCAGCGTTCTCTGACAATTTTCTAGCATAGAGGCAGTTAAACAGCAGCACCGACTCCTACTCTGAATAGCACTTAGTATAGATTTCTTCAGTCTCTCTCCTTCACAACTCGTTATCAGTGGACCTTTTGTATATTTACAGTTGGTCTGAAGAATCTGACTAATCTGTATGTAAAACAGTTACACACATGCATGGAGAAAGCCAGATTTATCTTCCTGGACATGCAGTCCCAGAGTCTTTACCATGTCTGAGGCTCATTGCCCGGTTCTGCTGTCACAGGTGAGCTGGCTCTTCACAGCAGTTTCTGAGCATGCCCCAAGGAGAGCCCAAGAAAGCCAAGGCAACGCAAAGCCTACTGCTCTGGCTGTGATGCGAGCGCTCCCATGCACGGCTGAGCCACGCTCGACTGAGCGGGATGGGACCATCCCACCCTGCTGTGCCAGCCTTGCACTGGCATCCTCACCCCTTGGTTTGTAGCACAACAAAGCAAAGGATGGGGGAGGATTTTTTTAAAAAATGGTGCTGGATCATATATGTGTGTGAAGGTTAGTTAAGACCTGATGATTTTCATAATCATCTGATCTGATTTAAGAGTAATTATCTTTGTTATCCCTGTTTGCCATGTTGCCCTTCATTTACACACAGAACGATTTAGCTTTGTAGGATCAGACAAGACAAGGCACACGCAATGCAGTTCAGCTAGAAGATATGGTAAGGGGATGTAAAAGTTTGGTCAGTATGATCTTGAGAGGGAGTTGTCTGCTGATGTAAGCCAGCAAGGTAAAACAGTATTATTCTCAGACAGGGGTTCCTTTCTACTGTAGGAAGAAGAGAGGCAGGAATCTACCTAAACTACCAAGGCAGTCACTAGCAGTGCAGTTTCACTATGGCACACTAAGATGCAAATCAACTTTCAATTTACCCCTCCAAAAAAAATCATCCAGAATCTCTACCAAACTGCTGCAAAGTTTCAAGCAAGTAAAGGATTAAGCAAGCTCAGAATTTGGGATGGATCTCAACAAAAGCTACCACTTCTGAAAATACCAATATGCATGAGTGGTACAGCCTATTAATTTATAGTAAAATGAATGTTCGGTTTAGATTAGGACTCTACCCAATGTACATGCAAAATTAAATAAAAACGCTGTACATTTTAAATTGAGTTAGCCTGATAATCCTTGCTGGCTGCCCATAGCAATGAAATGTCTTCCATTTAGAATAAGCAATTGATTTAGGCAAGCGCTTGACAAACACTAAAACAGAAAATGCAGGTGACTGTTGTCATTGGAGTGTTTACATAGGTGGCACTATAGACAAAACGAAGCATGAGCTAGGTAGGACACTGCTGGGATTGTCATACCATTATAAATGTTGATCTTTTTTTATATTGGATTCTGCATATTCTCCTCTTTGCCGTTTATATAAAAAGACTGCAAGGAATGAGATGAAGCTGGTGCAGTTGTTAGCTGGCTCCGGTTCTCCTCTTCCATCGGTGCAGCACTCCTGGCTGCTGGGGTGTGCAGTCGATGAGCGTCCAGCATCTCCAGCAAGAGATCATAGAGTGGAACTACGTTTTTACACTTCATATTGTACAGGTGCTCCATTCCTTTGTTGCTGTGGGTTGTAACGAAACAACAGTTACTTTCCGAATATGCCAGGAGGGGGAAAAAGCTATTAGCTAATAATATTTGTTAGGTTCATATAAATTCCACCTTGTACAAAACAACTAACTTAACAGTGCAGTTGCTGTATGCTCCTGCTACAGTTAGCAGAAGGCGGCACCTTCAAAGAACATTTCAGACCACCCACAGGCAAGTTGCCTTCTGAAGGTGGCTCTTCTGCTCTCCTTTGCCTGAAAGGTAGCCTAGAGCACGTGGACTCCTAATTTAGGCACTGTGACTAAGTGGATGGGATGAATCTTGGCTTTCCCATAATAAAACCTACAATATCAGATTTTTTTTTCCTAGAAAATAACCTCAGCCAATTTGTTAGCAAATGCTCACTTGTAACGGTATCCATTCACAAAACTACGGAAACAATAATTAACTTCACTGTGCATGTGGAACTTCCTTAATTGTACAAATTCTTCTTAAGGAAAAACAAAAAAAAAAGATTATTAACATGAAGACAAAGAAACTCAACCAAAAGACACAAGTAAAAAACCACATGCAGGCACTCCTTGACTTTTTCCTGAGGACCTGTATATCTGCCCAGGAGGTAAAATCTGCATATTTCAGCTTTAGTAGCTATGACGTGGTGCTTACTCTAATTTTAATTTTATTTACTGAAATATTGAAAATTAAAATCTGTGTAACAACATCTCTTGTCCCTACATAAAAATAAAATCTAGGATGTATCTTCGTATAGTCTTGTTATGTTGTTAACACTCCAGCCACTGAGCAGCTACCCTAAGAGGTAATTACATGTGGGAGAATCATTGCTGCGACAACTAAGGAAGTGCCTCAGACATCTGACCTCTAATTAGCAAAGGGCATAGTCCTCTAGATTGGGATTCAGTAGATCTGCATTTATCCTCAACCATAAAATACACAAAATGATCCTAATCTCATTTCTAAAGTGATTTGCAATCAAGCCACTTGTGACAAGTGGCTACATAAAAGTGACAGTTTCATTAAAATCTTATCTTATAGGATAGTAAGGTTTTCAGAACTAGGCTACTGCTACGTTAGTATTCTACTTAGTACTTTTCAAATAGAATACAAGATGCACATAACATCAAAAGTAGGTACCTCTTACAGCACTATCAATACACGAAGCAAAGGAAAAGAAAACTAGAAGAAACAAATAAGGAAAACTTTTATTCCTTTCACACCATAATCCAGTGTGCTCTTTTGCACACAAGTTCCACACATCGTTATGGAAAGCAGACATATATCATTTTTTTTTTTTTTTTATAACAGCTCTACACACAGTTTGCACTCCCAGCTGTGAAGGAAAATTGTTCGTGTGCATTTGTGAAACCTCCCTTGCACAGGACTAGTGCAGGAGGGCTGGCTGCATGCTTGCTCTCACCTCATGTGTCTGATGTGGGAGAGGATGAGGAGGAGCTGAGCCAGTCGTCTGTGTTGCTGCTGCAGAGAAAGACCCGACTTAGCCATTAAGTGTATCAGAGTGTCTGTGATTTTGTCCAGTACGCGGTGAATATAGTCTCTCTCTTCCAGAGATTTCAAGGTGCTGGAAAGAAAAGTGTACACACCTGGAGCAGGAAGGAGAAGGAAAACAAACCGCAGAGAAAAATTACTTTGATGGAGTCAGACTTGCCCAAGTTACGCCTTGTGGCTGGCCTCTTTGGCTGTGTTAAACCATGGGAGCTGAGTGTGTGCAAGCCCTCCTGTTTGCCAGCCAGGTCACCACTTTGAATGACCCTGGAGCTTGGATTTGATCATTGTGGGCAAAGTAGGAGGAGGAAGATGAGGCCTCTTCCCCACACGGGTCCATCCAAGGTGTGGACCAGGTGGCAGGTGACACCTGCAGCCTGCAGCTAGACCTAGCCATGGGCTGCACACTTCTCTCAGTCACTCGGCTCCGAAACCTTGAGGAGATGCTGTTGCCCCTTGAGAGCTTTGCAATACTTACTGACCAGCCCAGGCCTTCGGCAGTTTTTGCTTTCTCTGCTGTTTAATGTTTGATTTTTGGTGATTTGCTAGTCAATCTAGAATGGGATAATATGTTACCACAAAACATGTAAAGAAAATCAGGGCTTGTGTGCGTAATCCAACAGAACCCATAATATTTTGCCGTGCATCTGAGCAGTCAGGGAAACTGAGGGGTTTTTACCATCTTCTTGGCATACCTCACCTCCTCATATCATCTCGGTACTTCACGGACCTGACACTTAGAACTACCGTAACCTGCAAGTAGGTTTTATCACTTTGGGTCTTCTGTACTAAAAAGAAATATAAATTTCTGTTTGCGAATGTCAGTGTGAGTGTCTCTGAGAGAGAGGGCGAGTGAGAGAGACTGCTTTAAAAAAAAAGAAGGATAATTCAAACACAGCACAACTTCTGAAAACCGTCAGAGCTCTTAGTTTTAGTAATGAGTATTACTTCAAATTTTATATAGATAGTTAATACAATGGCCTCTTTTCTCAGAAAGCTTATTATTACTATTATTATTATTATTATTTTTACCGAAATGAATTCACCAAAAAGAAACAGCTCCCAGGGCCTTCCTCAGCTGAATGGCTCTTAACCACCCTCACATATGCCCACTGACTTTATATACCAGGTTGTATAGCTTAGCAGGTACCTGTAGGGGCAAGATTCTTAAATATTACTGACAAAACACAGTCCATCAGAAGGAAACATTAGTCTTATAAACCCAGAATGACTCCAGAGCGGCCTACTTCAGCAAAAGGATGCTATTGTACCCTTGTAGCAATACCCCTTAGTTTCATAACTTTGAAACCAGCAAAAGAAAAATATCTGTTAGGAGGAACTGTTTCTCATCTAGGTCTAGTCCAGAAGCTATTAAAAAGTATAAATCAAAAAAAGCACTCCCCCAAAAAATATAGAGACTTTAGGCAATTGCCAGTCAATAACTGCCAAGAAAAATGACGTTTGGTTTTTCTTTCTGCCCCGCTGGTGATTGCTCCTGCCCCAGGCTAATGACCAGAAATTTCCCCAAAAGAAATGCTAGCTATCCATCACACTCATACACACGAGCAAAATTTTGGAACAAGAGTGCAGAAAACTGCCTTAACAAAGTGAAATTTAACAGTCTCAAAGGTCTTGCCAAGCTCTGAAGCTGAAAGCAAGCCTAAATTGAATAGCTACCAGGTTGTTTTCCAGCTCTATCTGTAGGTCAGTATCGTAAAACATAATAGGAGTGAGAACAGACAAAGCACCACCCTGCAAATAAGTAAAGCCTACCGGTCCGTGCCCATAACACAAAGCTATGCACAAACCCTCGGGGAGGGACTGCAGTGCTACCATGCCAGCTCTTGGCATATAGTTGTATAATTTTATATGTGCCATTTTGTATAGTGACATATTTTTGCATATTACTGTAGAGGAGAATGCCCTCTACATCTTTTTTGTCACAATAAACCCCAGTTTAAAACATCTTGACATTTAGAGTTCAGGCTCACAACACAAAACCCAAGGCTCTTCTCCTTCCACCGAGCCCCATTGCTCTGTATCTGTAGCAAACCAGGCTGAGCGAAGAGCAAATTCAGCTCTGTACCATGCACTCATGTAATCATCCAGCCCCCAAAACAAAGAAATAAATAAAAAGCACAATTTAACAGGAACTGAAAAGATCAGGAGAAAAGAATAACAATCAATCACATAGAACGATGTATCAGGAAGTCTACAGGATGCATAAAATCAGCTAAATCTTTCCATCTCTGTGGTCTAACCAGCTAACTACTTGGGTAAATCAGCTGCTAAAGCAGACATGACCTACATCTTTGTCTCCAGAATAAAAGCCTGTTGCTTTGCCACATAGCACCACTCCTTTTTTCAGATACACTCAAAAGTAAAACATCTGGCATCATGTTGCTCTTTCATGTTTCTAACACTTATTTTCCAGTGTTAAGAAACAGCCCTTTATTATTGAGCTGAATGTGTTTTTTGAAAATACAAATTTGCTTTTTAGCGGAAAGATTTATTGCTGCAGCTTTAGAGGGGCACCTTCTGGTTTGTTATTTAGCTAGAGACAATGCTGTCCTTGTGGTTATAGACATGCTGTCACCTTGATATCTCAGGAAAAATCTGAAAGTAGGGTTAATGTATATTTTGCCTTATAAACAAAACCTTCCATCTTTTCCACTTGCACTGAGTGAAACAAAAAAAAAAAAATTCACTTGCATTTTGCCCAAGACCACATAGAAAAGGAGTGTAAAGATGTTAAACAGCCTTGAAAGATGCCAAAAAAAAGAGAAAATAAATGTCCAACAAAAGCAATAAACAGCACTGCCTCGTGAGAAGAGACTAACAGATGTCCAAGGATTTAATAAAGAAATGTTTGCGTACACTCAGTGAATTAAATCCACACAAAGCTTTAGAATGCAAATGGAGACTGCTTTTAAGTATGAAATGTAGCATAATTAGTGCAATTTGCTTAATTACTCCACTTGTTTGAATACTTTTGAGATCAGCTGGTTTAGTCATATGCATGTGTAATACAGATAGCATAAGGGCCAAAACCTCATTGTGTGTTTATCTGCTGTTTCTTTAGTAGAAGATGTGTGTATGTGCAATCATAGAAAAAAAAAAAATCACATTAAGAGAGGCTTGGAGGTCATCTAGTTCAACGTCCTGGTCAAATAGCAGTAACTTGAGGGTTAGGTCAAGCTGCCCAGAGCTTTGTCCAGCTGAATTTTGAGTATCTCCGAGGATGGAGATCTTTCTGGCCAACCTGTTTCAGTGCTTAACCTCTCTCACTGGCAAGACTTTTTATTCTGTTCTTCTAACCAAGATCTCCCTTGCTGTGGTTTGTCTCCACTGCAGGTCGTCCTTTCCTCTGGCATCAGAGGAGTCTGGCTCTTGCTTCTCCATAACCTGTTCATCAGCTACTGGAGGACTGCAGTTAGACCCTCCCTTAGCCTTCCCTTTTCCAGAATGAACAAAGCCAGCTCTCTCAGCCTCTCCTCATACATCACGTACGCCGCGTGCTTCAGAGCTCATAATATTTCATGTGTGTCCAAGACTTTACCTAAAGGAGGCTGACTATATTCTGTGAAGAAAAGCATCTCCAGAAGACATTTTAGAGTGTCTATGCCAAACAGCACTTACACAGCTATTACACATACCCTGAATTATGCTACTCAGCTATCTCTGTAATGCAGTCTAGCCTCCTAATTTGGGCATCTAAAGGACCTGACAATCAGAAACTCGTGTCCACACTCCCATTGCCTAGCAGTTAACTCCTCAGACAGTAATAAAATTAGTTGTTATAGGAATGCAAAAACTTTATGCATAAAGGCAATTACAAGCAATACAGACATACATTCTGTGTCCATATATACATACACACTCAGTTTACAGTGTACTCAGATATACTGCAGTAAGTGCAGTATGCAAGCCAGAGTATGACGCTCTGCATAACAGTATAAATTGCTTTCATCATGAATCTGTAACAGCTCAATCCAAACCGTGCCCTCTGATCTATCACTGTCAAGGCTCTTGTAAAAACGCCAAACTTCTGAGCAGGTATAAACTTTCATTTAATGTAAAAAAAAAAACCCACACCCAAAATCAGATCACTTATCAGGTCATCAGATCAACTCTGACCTTCTACCACACAGACCACCGCTGATTTGAACCTGCTGAATAAGAACCTTGAAGGAATAAAAATCTAATATCTCCTAGCCTCACTCAGTGGTCCCATCTCTTTTATGCGCAGAAGGAAATTTGCCTCTGATTGTCACTGACATCAGTTGCTTTTTTTTTTTTTTCTTTTTACAATTTTTCCTTAGAGGAATCTTGAAACAAAAAAATCCCATTAACAAAATGAGATGTGCTTTCGAAGGATAGCTGGTGATGTCTAACAGAGCTTCTTCTAAATAACAAATTTAGTTTTCTGGATAAATACTAAATACAGCAGTGGCACAAAAACTCTCAACAGTATGGCTTGAAGTCTTCATGTTCAAGACATGAACATCTAATGTGTTTTAGTCAAACTTCCAATTCTATTTTCTTTTCCTAATTCTAATGCAATATTTCTATAAATCAATTGCACATTCTAGATTTATTTAAGAGGGTAATTACATTTGAACATATTAGCTAAAAGTCTGGAGGAGCATCACTTTTCAGGAAGAACATTTAACTCTAGGAAATATTCTGTTATAATTATCAGGACAATAAAAGGGAAATAAAATGTCAAACAGTAGTTACAATTGTCACACCATGGCATCCAAGATAAAAACAATAGCCTTTCATTCCTAATATGCCAGGTGCTTGCTGCAGATGTCACTTTTTGGTAATTGGTGGCAATCACAACAAAACCTGAATTACATTAATATCTCATAGAATATAAATAAAATATTTTATATTTGATTGTATAAATATATAATTTTGCTTGCACTTTTTCTTTTAGTAGACTAGATCCAAGTTTCCATAAAGGAAGAAGTGCCGGATCAATCAAGTCAAGTCTGCTGTGTTTAGAGTTAGCCTTTGGTGGGAATTACCTGAATTTGCATTTCATGCAACTTGGGCAAATGATGTTAGACCATCGGATAAAAAGAACATGCAGCCCTCCACAAGTGTTTTGTCTAGAGGTTGATATCATCTACGTGTTCAAACACAACAGGAAAAGAGGAGAACAAGTGGGTAAATCCTCAGCGTCAGGAAACTCTGGCATCTTTAGTCATTAGGTAACAACTCAGCAGAGAATTAAGTCTAAAATTTTTACTTTAGTGCCTACCTTATAATTATTATTTTAGACCTCTATCACTTCCAAAAGAACACTGTGGGCCTCATTTCTGCATTTAAAAATAAATTGTCTGGAGTTTTTTCCCATTGCAAACAGAAAAGGATCCTCTGGTGTGCAACAGAAATTTTCTGTCACACGTGTCAACTTGAATTTGCTTATTTCAATCACCTCATGCAGAATTCAAGTCAGCTAACCTTACGTATTTAAATCTATACCCACACTCGTTATCTAGTCACCTTTTTTGAAATGTACTTCAGAAAGAGTTTTACAGCCCAAAAATACTTATTTCATCAAATATAAAGGAAGTGGAAGATGATGACGTGAGTTTTAGATGCCTGTTTTTTAATATAAACTAACCCACGATAAACTGAGCCACATTTTTGCCACTATGTCCCTTTATTTTGCCATCGCCAGAAAAGGAAGGTGTAGATTTACAACTAAATATTGCCTTTGGATGCCCTAAGTGTGGCTCCAGCTTCTCCAGTGTCTTGTAATTGGAGCATCAAGACCTGCCAGCACCTAGCTCCTAACACTGCCCTGATCGCCCTTCACATCAGCTGTACGCAGTACATCAACTACTCAATTGCATTAATTTGCTGCGTCCCATCTACACCAGTGAACAGGTTTGCCCGCTTCCATCCCTGCCTGGTGGCTCTGCCTGCATTTATGTCGACAGCCCCCTTTCGATTGCTGCTGTCTCAAAATGAAAACGTCATTAGCGACAATAAGCAGCATTCAACCACATGCAGAAGCAACCGCAATTACCCAAGTGACAGCAAAGCACACCACTTACCAGAATTGAGCAGGATGATGGACTTAAGGCACACAAATTCCTCTCCTTGAAGGTTCATCATGCGAAACCGAGTAGCGGTAGCCAGCAGCATGTCAAAGATTTCCACCATGCCCTCTACACATTTCCCTTGATTCCTGTGTGAATACCATCAAGGGGGAGACATTCACAGCTTTAACCTGGTGGCAGCGTGAGCTTTTCATCCCCCTGGATCATTCCCCTCCAAACTGATTTCATCAGTTCACTAGCTAGTACGTGACTTCCTACTCTATGCTCATTTGGTGTATGGGTGATTACAAAGGCATAGTTCTCTGTATCCTACACCAACTGAATAAATAATTAAATCCTAAAAATGTCAATTTCATAAACTCACCACCAAGGCATTATTGTGGTGAAATATATGAAACTGACTCAACCAAATCTTCACATTGAGCAAAAGATTTGTTTAAAACTACAATTTTATTTCATTTTTGTGCCTGTGTGTATGTGTTCTGTTTGTGTTACTTTGTTTCCTCTTTTTTTTTTAATTCCCTGTAACTGAAATAAGTCCCAAGTCTGCATTTCTCTCTCCCTAATGTTTTGTACCTGTACGTCTTGCAATCTGTAATGTTCCAACACACTTCTCCCATTTTTCTTGTATCATCAGCATAATGACTCCTTAAAGAATGAGCTTAATTCATGAGCTCGAGAAGAACTTATGAGGCCAAAGGCTTGTCTGAATAACTGAGTCTGATTAAAACTATCACTTCACTCTGTAAATCAGATAACTTTTTACATTACAGCATTAAACAAAGCTAAAATTTGGGAAATCTCGAAGTCTTCATTAGTAATGACAATTAACCATCTCCCTCTGCTCACAATACTAGGTAATCTCACTCACTAATTTTCATCTTGCACTCCCAACCCGCAGTTCAAGAATTAATGCGGATTTTAATTATTTCTTATCAAAATTTAGTCTGCAGATTTTCTGGTCATGGAATTTTAGATCATTTACATCATTACCTTTTACCAAAAACTACCTACTTTTATTAGGACTTCCTGAGTGAAATTTTAACACATAAAACAATGAAAGATGAGATCTGCTGTTTAAAAATATACTATTTTTTAGATATGGCTTTTATGAAAAAAAATTTTGAAAATCATTGCTATAGGAAAATGCAAAAGACATTTTAGAATAATCAGATGGCTATTGCACTATGGTTTGTAACATGAACACAGATTGAGCATCTCCTAATCTTATTGTGACAAAACCAATGCCAACTACTAGCATAGACACGCCTGCCTAGTCCTGATACAGCTGTGCAGTTGAGACCCTGTAGACCCTGTCTAAACCCACACCAGACCCTCAGACAAAGCAGTCGTCTTCCTTTTTGACTACAGCCTGAGAAAATTCTTTGCACTTCTCAATCATGTCTAAACCTAAAACTGAGTCAAAGAAGGAGAGGAAGCATCTGTGAGCACTTCTGGACCAATGTTCTTTCAAGTTCACATCCCTACTCAGCTTAATTTGGTGCTTGACTTTAAATCTATGTCTCCCTTACGCCAGAGCAGTGCCTACAAGCCAATGACTATGGCACATGACAGAAGCTATTTCATCTGCTTTCAGAGATACTTAAACAAAGCAGAACCATAGCAAGAAAACAAAGTGAGAGATACACCCTTAAAACAGCCAGTACAGTGTTGGTTAAAATACAGTGATATTTGTAAAATGGGGTCCCAAGCAAGTTTTCCAATCACTGTTACAATAGCACACGTTCTCTGACTTTTCTGTGAGAAAGAGATGATCCAGTCTTGGGAATGGAAATAATAGAAAGGTATGTTTAATAAGGAGGATAAGGATGGGTTGCTCCTTCTCACCTCAGGTCCCTGTGGGCTACCGGGCAGCTGCGCACTGAGCGCTCCTGAGAAGTGCCTAATTCTCCCCACGCATTTTACTGGCGCTTAGCTCAGAACTTGATTTTCATTGAGTGGCAGACACCCAGTCACAAGCTGCAGCATTTGGCAATGCAGCTTTTATGGCCTTTCCTGGCTCTTAAAAATCTCACTGAAGAAATAGTGGTTTAAACTATAGCAACTTTTTGGGTACGACCAGCAACATTGATAATTTCACGTATTACGTTCCCACAGACGATGGCAGGCACACTGAGTGCTGTGTTCCATGTAAAGTGTGTGATGCCTTTTGCACCCTCATTTATAATATCCTGATCAATGAGCTGAGCTAAAGGAGTGATCTCAGCCTGGTATATCTGAGCATGGCTTTACTGAAATTCACAGTTCTCTTGCCTGAAGGCTGAATCTGAACTCAGACTGGGAGTTTTCAACAATTTAATGACCAATCAGTTACACTCTTCAGTGCTGGACGCAGAAAGCTCTTCAGCAACGACCACCTTGCTGCCCTGATGAATCCTGCTTAGGCATAATAAAACTGAAAAACTGAACTGGTTGGATTCCTCCTCTGTTTGGACATCAATAAAATAAAAAAAGGCAAAGCAGTATTTAATAGCACCACTGTCAAATAAAAATCAAACTAAAATCAGGCACTCCAAACAGGGCATGAGAATATCAACAATTACTCTTACCTCAAAATCTATTTTGTGTGCTAAAATTTAAATCCTATGGAAGTAAAACAAACATGAATTTTTACAGCGGGACAAGTTCCACTGCTTCTGATACAATATTTTTGCCTATAACTAGAGAAAGATTAACTTTGCATATATCGAGTTAAGCACAGTTTCAGAGGACTAAAAGTCTTTAATATTTTGCATTAACATGGAATTTTAGATCATTTACATTGTTACCTTTTACCAAAAACTACCTACTTTTATTAGGACTTCCTGAGTGAAATTTTAACATGTAAAACAATGAATGATGAGATCTGCTGTTTAAAAATATACTATTTTTTAGATATGGCTTTTATGAAAAAAAGTTTGAAGATCATTACTATAGGAAAATGCAAAAGACATTTTAGAATAATCAGATGGCTACTGCATACAATATTGCTTTCTGATACAATATTTTTACCTATAACTAGAGACAGATTAACTTTGCATATATGGAGTTAAGCACAGTTTCAGAGGACTAAAAGCCTTTAATATTTTGCATTAACTTAAATAATGCCCCAATAAAGGGGTATATTACACAGTCTGAAAAAATTGCAAAATTTGCATAGCCAAGACCACAATTTAGAAGGAAATAGTAAGTTATTTGTAAAATGAGACCATTTAAAATGCCTTATGGTGACTCATAAGACAGAAAAGACATTTTGTTAGCAAGTAAGAATTATTCCCATGTACTTTTTACAAAAGTAGTTCAACAGACTGTAGTTTACAAGAGCAATATTCCAATCAAAATCCTCTTGCTGACAAGTACAGCCTCTGGACAAAAATCTCTAGTCCTGCAACGCATAGTGCATGTACCTAAATTTCCATGTGTGTCTATTTCCCACCAACTGAACTCATATGGTAGATGATAAATAAAAATTATGTAAACTTAAGAGATTCTACATACTTTCTAATCTCATTTGTTTTGCTCTTTGCTGTGTGTGAAATAACAGGCTACTCCATAAGAAAAAGAATAGTATCTCTTTAGGTAAAGTACTTTAGATGAAGTTAGATACCTAGCTTTAGGTATTCGTGTGTGCAAGCAACAATTTAGAAATTTCTGCTTTATTTTCAGAGTTAGGTAGCAGATCCAACTCCACGGAAATCAATGGGAACTGCAGGACCTTAGTATCTTTGAAATTCAGGCTTCTAATCAAATGTTTTAATTATCTAGGCTACAACACTGATTTTCTTTGTTAACAAAAACTATCTGAAATAGGAATCTCCAGTTGTCCTGAATTGCCTTCTAATTTCCTAATATAAGCTGATAGTATTATCTCATCTTTACAGCTATATGTCCAGTTGATAGGAAGGCCTATCTAGGAAGGCCTAGATAACTTTCCTGGTGGACAAATTAAACAATAGATTTGAAAATTATCCTTATCCCACCATCATGCCGTTGTCTTTGTGTATTTTCAGCTTACTGAAAACAAAACAATAAAATCTTGTTTACTGCAAAGCATCAGAGTGTATTGTCAGAAGAATCCTTAACATTTGGCTGTTGGGAAATGTTTAGAAAAGTTAAAGCATGTGAATTAAAGGTCTTAAGTTACTGCATAACAGTACTATATGCATTAACTTTAGTAAGTCTACAGAATCACAGCATCATCCAGGCTGAAAAGCAATTCAGGATGTCTTTAGTCCAACCCCCCAGTCAAAGCAGGCTCAGCTCACTCAAGGCTTTGTGCTACTTTGGTCTTGAAAACCTCCAAGGATGGAGACTGTACAACCTCTCTCAGCTTATTTTCATCATCACGGGGTTTTTTTTTCTCCGTTTTACCCAGTCAGAACCTCTTCTGCTTCAATTTGTGACTCTGTTTCTCAGTCTCCCATCAGGCACCTTAATAAAGAGCCTTGATAACCTCCTCGTAGATTTTAGGTTAGGCATGCTCAAAAGCCATCTCTTCTCCAGGCTGAACAAATCCACTTCTCTCAGCCACAGAGCATGTGCTCCCACCTTGGTAGCTCTCCACTAGATTCAGTGAAGTTTATTAATAAATTTTCCTGTAATGAGAGGCACAAGGCTGAATGTGGTATTCCAGATATGGTCTAATGAGTGCCAAATCAAAGTGGAATAATCATTTTCCTTGCTCTACTGCCTGTACTACCACTGATACAACCCCAGATACTGTTGGCCTCCATTGCTGCCATGTTGCAGTACTGATGCATGCACAGACTGCTGTTCATCAGCACCCTAGGTCCTTTACAGCAGAGCTGTTCCCCAACTAGTTAAGCCCCAGCTTGAACAGTAGCAGTGGATTAAATCCATCAGGTGCAGGATTTTGCATTTCTCCTGGCTGACTTTCATGAGGTTCCTGTCAGCCCTCTTCTCCAGTTTGTCTATTTGCATCTGTATGGCAGCTCTTCCCTCAAACATGTCAACTGCACCCCCTAGTTTGATGTCATCTGCGGATCTGAAGACAGTGCACTCCACCTCCTCCTCCAGGTCATTGACAAAGACATTTAACAGGACACATTCTAGGATAGACCCCTGAGGAACTCCAGCTGCAACTAGTTTCAAGGTAGAGTGTGAACCA